TGGTTTAATCTGAGTCTTACTAAGCAGATTACTGTAACAGTAGTAAGCCTGAAGTCATTTTACCTGCCAGGTACAATATGGAGAAGTAAAACTAATTCTGCACTGAAAGGTATAAACTGAGGCTAAAATGGATTCCCCCATCCATAAATGAAAAAGGTGGCACATTTAATATCTAAGCTGATCAGTTGGAAACCTCCTTATGTTAGATTATTGTTTTAGGAGGGCTTTGTGCTTCTTTAAATGTGATTTTTGTTGGGGTTTTTTTGCACAAATGAAACAAAATAGAAGTGAAAGAAAATGCCGTTCAAGGAGTTAGTCAATCTCCATCGATTTCCATGTTAATTTGCCTGAAATCACGTTTAGAGCCTGGTACAAAATAAAAGTTATAAGAAATGAATGGTGCATGATTTTTTTCACATCAATTTCTAGTCTACATCAAAATATTAAATATTATATAATATAATATAGGCAAATAATATATGCAATCCTCCAGACTAAAGAGTAGAGGGACCATCTGGTTTATTATTAACACTCTGCCTCTGTCTTTGATGCTATAGTGGTGCATCAGTGCCTATGGAATTACTAGCTTGCACATCTGGAAAAGCACCATCAACCCTGACATGTGTATATCAAGTTTTAGAGTACAATATATTACAATTGTGATGATGTTTTTTTTAAGGGAATGCTATGCATAAGTAGCAAGACAATGCTAATCCACATACTACACGTATTACAACAGCATGGCTGTAGAAGAGTCTGTGTGCTGAATTTTAGCCTAGATCTTTCACCAACTGATAACATTTGGCATATCAGAAAATGAAAAATAAGACCAAGAGGAGTGCTGAGCAGTGAGAATCCTCCATGAATAGGACAATATTCATCTCCTAAAAAAATCCAACAGCTGGTCTTCTCAGTTCCCAAATGTTTACAGACTTTTCAAAAGAAGGGGCTACACAGTGGTAAGCATGGCCCCCGGCCCAACTTTTTGCAGACACGTTGCTAACATCATATTCAAAATGAACTATTGTTCCTAAAATGATACATTTTCTCAGTTTAAACATTTGATATGTTTTCTATGGGATTTATAAATCCTTACGTTCTGTTTATTTACATTACTCACAGGCTCCTGACTTTTATTGAATTGAGGTTGTGTGTCGTTTGTGTTAGCTGCTATAGTGCCTGTCACCATTGCTATTTTAGCTAACTGTGTTAGCATATTTGTTACATTGTTAGTACTCAACACAAAGAGCTGAGACAGATATGTGTGTCATTAGTTTGTGTGTATTTCTCCATGAGACAGAGTTTGGGGCTGAAAGACACAGAAGCTCTATTCCAGAGGAAAATATGCCAAATTCCACGGCAATCTGTCGAATCACTGCAGATCACAAAGTTAGCCTCACAGTGGAAATCACCAAAGCCAGGATAGGATCTAGCTTGAACGTTTGCATGAAATTATAATTCAGATTCAGTGCATCCAAGAGACAAGAGCTGAAACTCAGGAGAAATCCTGATGTCAGTGGGGAGCAGAACAGTTGGATGAGGTCCACTATGCATATTCAAATGAGGTAATACAACATTACCAGGAAATAGGCTGTGTATTAAACCTGCAGTCATTTGCTTTTTATTCAAAAAGACAGAGCAAGGCCAGAAACACAAACAAGTGTGGTATGTACTGGCCTCACTGGGATCAGTGGACTGAAAAGAGCAACACAAAGGAAAGGAGGAGTGCACAGGAGCACAGTATAACAAAAACAAACTCTGTGGGCGTCAGTTACGCAAAGAAAAACACATATTACAACACAGAATTACAGAATTGGAAGCAAAAAATGCCAACTGGCAACTTTAACTCAAAAACATCACCACTAGTTTTGCAATATTCACTATAAACACAGCTTTCACGATGTTTGTTATGCTGTTTGCCTTGTGTCGATCCCACTGATGTGGCAATCTGCCTCATCCCTCCCTGTAGAGAGAGTGATGCGCACCTTGGATTTGCTCTCTCAGTCAGGATTATGTTAATCTGCTGTAATCTCCTAACAGACGCTCACACAGCCTGCACAAGACCAGAGCACAGAGAGACAACATGAGCTTCGAACGATACAGACTGAGGCCGGTATATGCAGAGCATGCTCACACAGAGAAAATACACCAGAAAAACAGGACATCAAATAGCACTGTAAAAATAATGAAATGACTCACTAAACTTTCATCATTACTTAATTAACATAAGTGTGCAACTACACCATTTACCTGTGGGAGCTGCTACAATGACAACAAAATATGATCATGCAATGGTGGAAGTAAACTGTTTTTTCCCCCTAAATTCATTACTAAAGTAAATGTGGCAGTCCTCAAATGCCTGCCATTATATGAGCGGGCCCTCACGCCACACAATAGCTCCGACCTATCACAGTTGAGAGACAGGACCTTTTGAGGTGTCTGACAAGAGGAGGCTGGCAACAGATTCAAGGGGATATGGCATGGATCTGGATCATGTCTGTTCCAGCACAGTCTGCTATTCAGGTCACCTGCATGCAATTGTATTGTTTTGGCCCATTGGTTTATATGGATCGATGTATTTAAAGCCCAAAATGTTACAGTTGTTGTTTTTTTTACCTTTACATTGGGTGGTTAAATAAATAAATAATATCAGAAATGCTGTTCTGTTAGAACTGTGGTCACATTCATGTGTTATGTCTGTTTTTCCAATAAATGGAATTGTTGAGCTTTTCCGCCTTTTATTGGAATCTGTATAAAGGAAATTTATACCATGTAGGAATTTCCAGCAATTGTAGTCAAAGATATGCGCATGAAGGCCATGGACACGAAAGGATAAGTGCCAAACAATCTAAAGCTCTCACAAACATTTGCTAAATGACAAATGCTTTGTAGACTGAGATTAGATCTGGCAAAATTAATTATAAAACACTTTAAACACAACATAGTACAAGAAAGAGACAATAAAATGTACTTTTAATAAAATCAAGAAATTCAAAGGTTAAACCATCACCAGCATGTATCAGTAATAAACTGCACTTTCAGTTTGGATAGAATGAATAACACTGTAACTCACTGTATGAAATAACTTGTACTAATGTTAAAATATGATTTCTATTGTACGGGATTATCATTCCTTAATGCACTCGGATGTAAATCATTTTGCTTGTAATGCTCGGTGACTGAGTAAAATGTACTTCAATGCTTAGTTTAGGACAGTGTTGAGAGTAAAGTAAAGTAAACATCGAGGCAAATACAAGAGTTCTCAAACGATCACTTGTTGGTCAAATGCACTGTTTAATTAGTTTATCACTTATTAGTAGCTCCTTTAAATTTCCCCAAGAACATACAAGAACGATCTGGGGGAAAAAATCCTTTTAATAGAGCCTGCTGACAAATATCTTTTACATAAATTATGAAAAGATTTGGCCCCAGTACAGACACCTGGGGGACACCTGGCAAATTTAAAGAAAATGTGCAAAGTACAAAAGTGGTTTGACAGCACAAAAAAAAAAAAGTAAAGTAAGTAAAATTCTGATATTTGTGAATTGTAAAAGGAATACACCATTCTTGATTCATAAAACATGGGATGGACACTGAAGAGTTCGTGAAAATAAGTTTCTTGATGTGATAACAGGCGAAGTCAGAAATCTCAGATAGAACATATACATAGTGAGGTTTTGAGAAGCGTTTCAAAACTGCATAAAATAAAACACAGAAATCCAGAAATCACTACTCTACTACAATCTCTACTGCTCACTGGTTACACCATATTCAGATGACTGTTTAGAGGTTTGGAGCAATATTTATAAATACTACTAGCATAATTATTTATATTGCAAAAAAGGACCAGAAGGATAATCCATAATAATGGTTACAAAATATCATGGATTATCTATAACACTACTCTTAAAATCCAAAACAATAAAATTCACCAGTGTGGTTCATTTTCACACTATATAATAATTCTGTATAAAACAATAAACTATACTTCCTACTTACTTAGTTCCAAACAATATCCAAAACATTTTTTTTACAGGGATCGGTGGATAAATATTAATGGGTTGGGGGGGGGGGGGGGGGTGGGGGGGCGAGTTATATTTAAACCATCTCTGTGTTCGTATGTAATAGAAAGTTTTTGATCTCTCTATGTGGAGGGAAGCTGCGAAACAGACTGAGTGATGAACGGAAGCATGACAATTTTTTGAAGTAATGGGGGGGAAAGGCTTTGACCTGTTACTTTTTATTTTTGATAGGTGTGTACATCTGCATATATCTATAAATACATATATCTGGGTTTATAAAATCAAATAAATGCAGGATACAAACAGGAAGTAAAGTGATTACCGAGTGCAGAATAGGGTAGGATTAAATAAGCATATGCTTGTTTTTGCTCCGTTGTGAACACATCAAGTAATTTACTTTGATCATTATTTTCTTGGTGCTTTAATTGTATAATTCTAACATGTTTGAAATAATGTCTTAAAATCTAGAGTCCACTTTTTAAAAAGTAGCCATCAGATTTGTGAGATCATGTGATTTTTAGATAAACACCACACAGGGCAAATACACAGCAACTGTGATAACAGGCAACAGGGGGGAAAAATGGTGCACATGCTGTATGAAACCGAGATATTGTTGCATGACCCATTTCTTAAGTCTCTCAGGGAGGTTGGTGAGAATTTACATAGAGACTCTGAGTATGAAAATATAAACAGTGTTATCATCATCAGTAATTCATCCCAACCTCCCAGCAGGAGAAGCTGCTACATCAAAGCCACCACATCCTGCTGCAGTAATGATCAATTACACTGGAACTGCACAGGCATGGCAGCTACTCTAGACCAAAATGCAGATTGGCGCATTTAAATGCAGGTCAGAGTGAGATGCATTGAGAACAAGAAATAAGTAGGGCAGCAGGGAGATGGCAAGGAAGCACAGTTTGGTGTGAAAGAGCTGTTTCTCCTAGAGTATTAGTTGGATTTTTTTTTTTTAAGATTTTGGGTGTAAATAGTGCAAATGTAAATGTTTTATTTTTTTAGCCTGTTTGTGGCATACCTACATGATTAGTGGTTAGTTTGCCAGGTTGGCAGTAACAGTGATCGAAAGTGAAACGTCTCAACAACTTCAAAACAGATTGAGATAATAATTAAAGACCAAGCAACTTACTTATCCAGTCGTGCCACAAGTGGATTAAAGTTTTTAGGTTAGAGCAGTATTTGGAACACATGTTCGAGGTTACCACAGGATGTTTCCTAGCCTAGGATGACCACCAAGCTTGAAATGAATTGCTCTCCAGAAAATCTCCTGGTGCAGGCTGTATCTGTGCACACATAAGCACATTAAATGTTTCACCAGCACAATTTAGGTTTTGAAGCAAAAACAAGTATATAAAAATAACAAAAGTATCACTACAAAATTAAATACATACTCTAAATTTTATTGTAAATACAACCTCAACAACTTTACCTGTACTGTGTGCTTAGGGCTTTATGCTGAGTGATAGTGTATTAAAATACTATGCTGGATAAGAGAGATTTAGCATTGCTGTTGTCAGCATGCTGACATTTGCATTTTACTCAAAGCATCTGCAGCCCCACAGAGCTGCTGGCTACTCTGCTCAAACCAGAATGATCACATTACAGGTGTCTGCCAGCCAGTCTGTCCAAATGAAATGTATAATGTGAAGGTTGGTGTAGTTCACTGAACTACACCAGTTCATTGGTATAGTTCATACTAGTTCATTGGTATAGTTCACTGAATTATAATTGGTATAATTCAGTGAACTATACCAATTATGAAATATGGTCACAATCCTCCTTCTGTTCCTGAGGTATGTGTTTGACCAACGGTCAAAAATCTCATTAGAACATTAAATTTTACTTACATACTTTCATGTATGTAAGTAAGTAGATTAAGAAGGTGAAATATCCGAACCTTTACTTCCAAAATCATTTGTTCCAAATGTACTGAAATTCTCTCTAGTTGCACTCGGGAGTGAGGTCATAGTAAAATTTGATGACCAAAATCTAATCAGTTCAGCCCCAAGTCCAAATTAACTTTTGGGCTAGATGTTAAAAAATATATATACATAAATCCCTCTAGGTGGGCCTGGGAAATAACTTAAAAATGAGAGAGATTTGACCTTTGATGAACCTGACCTGTTGATTTTTGCGTCCAAGTGAACGTTTATTCCAGATGTAATGAAATGCTCTCCAGATGTTTTTCAGTTATAAGATGAAAATAGAGATCGATAGAAAACACAACCAAGAGCATAATATCTACAGCCACTTGTGTCATGGAACTAAGGACGTGGTTCCTATAAGCTCACTTTCACAACCCTTATGAATGCTTTATCTCAGAAACACCTGGAGAGGATGTCATTGGATCTGGTACAATCATTAATATACCCATAGATCCCATATCTCCCCAAAGTATCAAATTAAATTCTACTAAAACATAACTGTGCTTTAATTGTTGATCTGCTATTCATGTCAGTTTAATTTAGAAGTCTGAAGGCAAAAAAACATCACTCCAAAAACCTGAAAAGTACAGAACCGCTTTATTAAATTCATAACAGTATAACTATGAGAGAGTACTGTCCAAACAAACAGCAGTGTGGTCATTCATGGATAAGAGAACAGGAGGAATGATAGATGGCGGCAACACAGCCTTCACGTGTTCTCCAAATGTTACTTATTCAAAAAAAACAATACATAAAATCCTTCTTTTCACTAAAGCAAGTTAATGAACGATTACGATAAGAGATATAAAGAACAAACACGAATGAAATTGCATTTACTTCTCTGATTTCCTCAATAGGTTACATCTGCATACTCAGGCCTACTGATAAACATGTCACTTGTAAAATAATGAACTGTCTTGGCTCAATCACGTTTTCAAACCCAGGTTTGGACACAGGTCAGATTTGGTCAGCTGCAGAAAAGGCGCACACACATTACACACCTTCAGCTATTTTTTTTCCTCACTGGAAGTAATGTTCAAGTTATTCTCCATTCAAGTGCCACAACCCTCACTAGGTTTTCCAAAACGCTTTTCACAACCACTACAGCATGGGTGTGAACGCTCAGGCGTGACCGTGATTGCAGCAGCAATCCGCACTTAAGTCAAACTATGTCAAGCTTTTGTGGTTGTTTTGCACTTGGCGTCTTCGCCTCCTGATTGTTCAAAGTTGGTGCAAAGTTTGCCCTTTGATTATGAGACTTGCACCAAACCATTGAATCATAATTATGACTCACTGTAAGTGGGTGTGACATAGCATTGTTCACCTTTAGTTCGAGAGCCATTGTTTAAGGGAAGTATGCTATTTTGTCAGGAGTCAAAACCACCCAAAAAAAACCCAACAAATTTATTTTAAGTTTACCCTGAGATGAAATCTCCATGTTACACATCCAATAATCATGTGAAAAAGGGGCATATTTTAGTGTACAGAACAGGCAACACACGTGGCAACGGTACAATATTAAGTACAATTTGCTGGTGTTCAATTTAAAGCTTCTTCTTAGCTCTCTTGTGCTGGGTTAAGCTACAATAGTGTAAGCGTACAAAGAGCACCATGCATCTGTGTAGTAGTGACAAACTCAAAGATGGTCAGGTAGTCGTATTTTTGGGGATTTAACACAGCAACAGGCACAAACAAGTGCAAAAAACAGACTTGAAGAACAAGTGAGGAGTGCACCACCTAGCTCGGTTTGCAAATGCCTCAGCTGACTTTAAGGCTGATACAAGTTCTTGACGGTAAAATTGTTACGTGTACTTTAAAGTTGCATTCTGAAGAAATAACTGCCATACATTAGGGTCCTTTTATTTTGAGGTGTACAATTTCTTCTAAGCATCAACCAAAACAAGAAGAGAGATGTCTCACTTTTGCTAGAGCAACTCAAATTTCAGTGGGTGTCAGCAGTACACCGTTCCCAACAGCTGCATCCCTGCCAATAAAATTCCAAACAATCTTTTGACAGAGAAGAGTATAATTAACAACAGATCCAAATTAGGGACTCGTTGGAGTTGGAGGAGAGCGACATGTCAGCATGACATTCATTTATTTCTGGCACAGCTTCAGAATGAGTTTTGTGAGATTGCTAAAGTCATTATGTTTCAAATTCCACATGTAGCAGCTTTAAAAACCAAAGTACAGGCCAATCAGTTCATATGACTTATGGTATATGTTCATTCCCATCTTGGACATCTTATAAAAAGGCACTAATTGGGTAGACATCCAATAGAAAACCTGGGATCAAGATGTGACTCGTGTCCTAAACGTCAGTGGTTTAAAACCGTTTAATCAAACGTGCTTTCGGCTTCAGATTAGCAGTAGACTGCAGTAGTAAAACAGGTGCTTTACCTGACCCTAAATGTGTAATCCGACTAGAAATGTTGGCAGCAGTCGCATACAGGTGTACTTCACAGACAAAGTTAAGTTTCATTAAATGTGGATCATAAAAAGCAACAGAGAGAAACAGAGAACAATCATTTCAACTTATCAGAACACTGGAACCAAAGTCAATGGACTCTGTTAAATAATAAGACTAGTCAGAAAGTTGCAAATGCATTATGGAAAGGTTCAGAATAAAAGTGAGTAGTTACATATGCAAGAGGCAAAAAAAAAAGTTTGTCCAAGCTTAGATCAGGAAAAACATATATATGATAAACCTCAAGGAGAACTTGCATCCTTTTATGGTGACAACAGAGTTTAGCTTTGCTCCACCCCAAACTTCATCCTGCTCAAAAAACAATCAACCATTGTTCACTTTGTGTCCCCATGTGATGGTAATGTTTAAAATTACTTCACACACCAGGTCCAGGTTATATGGATAACAAAACTATGTCAAAGTGGCAACTTTAAAAGTGCTTGCCAGTGGATTTTGTTACTCTCCAACACGGATTAACCTCCTCCCAGACTAAATCCTAGGAGGACCTCCAGGGGAAAAAGTTTATGGTCTATCTCAGCTTAATCCATGTCTGGGAAATGGAGGCAGTAAGACATAGTAATGCTCGCTACTTCCCCATCTGGTGATTGTGCTGGTTTGACTTTACGTTTAACAGATGAAGTATGTAACTGAAACATTTTCCCAAAATGTCAGACTACTCCGGTTAAATCAGAAACTCTTGATGTCGACAGATTTTAGAGAGAAGTTAGAAGATCAAGGGTTACTGTGCTTGCGGAAACATGGTTTCATATCCACATGTTATTGCGACACATCTGACTCTTCACTTGTCATAAATCAATCCTCTAGACTTTCACTGGTCGGTGACATTTTAATTCAGTCAACTGAAAACGCTGGTCTTTGAGTGGGGAAGAAGGCGGCCAACTGTTCAAAAGGCCAACCAAATGTCCTTCATTCATCAGCTCCAAAAAACTCCTAACAACATTCGTCAAGACACCAGATGTTAAGTTTTAAGTTCAACATAGCCAGATCCCGCCTACATCAGCAATGTCAACCAAATACAATGCTGAGTGGCGTACTCTCTTTGGTTTGTGTTCAAATAGCGGACTGACGTACAGACAGGTGACGAAATATGAGCACATTTGTGCAAAGATGAACCCTCGATATCTTCTCAAAGCGATGGTGAGTTCAGAAACTCAATTTATGATTGACAGCACAGCTGCTGTGCTGTGTCTGTAGCTGTGTTGTATGCTACAGGCTGAGCTGAGACCTTTGCTGCAGAGTTTAGATACTTAGGAAGCCTGAGTAGACCATTCATGTGTTTACAAAGAGGATTTTCACATCCAAAAGTCTTAAACAGTCAAGATTTTAGATTTTGTTTAGATTTTAGATTGAAGGAATTTTAACTTAGTTGTTTTTTTTATTATAGATGAGGCAATGAAGGCAAGTTCTTCTGATTAAAAAAAAAACCCAACCAAAGCAAAAACAAGCACTTTTTTTTTTTTTTGTTGTTACAATCTAATTAATGACCACCGTCATATTGTAATGGGAGCAGAGATCGTTAAAGAGCCCCTATAACGTATGCAAAGATGACCAAATGCTGATATAATCAGATTTATATTCCTCAAGGATGACTTAAAAATGAGCTTAATCCTGCACGGGCATCTGTCACACTTAACAGAGCACATGACGCTAAAATGAGATTGGTTAAGATCTCGATGCATAAGAGTATAAAGCACCGGGTTTTCGTGTGATAGTTGCTACTAGGTTTAGAGCTACAGATGTTTATTTACACTGTGGGTGATATTTGAAGGCCACTGGGACCAGAAAAAGTTAAAAGGGACCTATTATGCAAAAATGTTTCTAAAAGGAACAAAATCAATCAATAAAAAAGGAGGTCAGTAAGAAATCCCCATGAAGGGCAAGGGTTTTTTTGTTTGTTTGTTTGTTTTTTTAAACTCAAAGAAAGATTACTGTAAACTGTGAATCATGCAAAGCCAGCATGGAAGTGATATCAGCACAATAGGTCCCATTTAAAAAAAAAGTGTCTAAAAACAAACTGCACCATGAAAAAGTGAGAAAATGTGTAGATTTTTTATTTTTTGTTTCCATAATGAAAAATGTTCCAGCTACCAGATCACAGCTCAGCTCTTGGCCATATTTGTATGTGGCTTCATAATTTCTTTTAATGCTCATTATCATCCATAATAGAATAATTCTATTATTTTGAAGAATAATTCTTGTTTCAACTTAGGTAGTCTTTGCATTTCTATTCATGTTAATACTGACCTCAAGAAACTAATATCTGAATGTTCAGTGTTTGAACCAGCCAACCCTTGATTGGGGCAGACCCCCACTTAAATTGATAAATACAATGAAACCAAGATCCAGAAATAAACTGAGTTCTGTTTTAATCTTTAAGTAAATGTTTCTTAAAGATAGATAATATTAAAGCAGAAAGTTAAATTCAGGCAGATGTGTCCTGAACACTACAAAGTCTGAGAACAGAGACATGTCTGATATGCCTGTAAAGTGCTGAAGCACTATATCTGCAACACAGCACGCTGGGCTTGGGGTTTTTCACCTCTGCAAACAGTTAAAACTGTTTCCAGCATTCTGAAGATTTCACATTTCCTGAGCAGATATCTGCTCCACCTAAAGGCAGGATGGTGAAGACCTCATACCTGCACACAAACTCACTGGATATGAGGACCTCATCTCTTTCTCCGTACTACTACTTCTGGTTGGACCCCAAGGGGTTGATGTAAATTAATGGTTTCACCACTTAGAAGAAACACACACACTGTCTCCATTAATATGTCCACAGAGTCAGTCATCTTTTTGATTGCAAAGCTCTGGATTTCTGGGATTCTTTCCAACCTGTAAATGCTGAGGAACGGTGCAGTAGAAAATGTCAATAGAGTAACAGGAAAGCAAATATTTTGTTATTTATATTATATAATAAATAATAAAACTTTGTTCATATATTTTTGTATATGTAAATTTTAAAAAAAAAGTTCAGCCAAAAAGAAAGTGACTGTCTAACAAAACAAACGGACATAGAAGCAGCAATAAAGCTGTTTACAAAAAGAAGTGTGTGTGTATATATATATATGTATATTGCCGAATTTTGACTATATCGAGTCGCTGGATACAATTGATCCCAACCCCTGAGTGTTTCAGAGGTTGTTAAGAGAGTAACTTCTCAAAATATCTGATCGCTCAGATCTGCAGTTTGATGAAGCTCCTGGTCACGCTGCAGAAACAACGTTCTGCAACACAAGCAGGCGGATGTTTGACCTGAGGAGGTGTTTAAGGTAGCTGGATTTTTACAGTTCCACGAGACGCCATAGTCTGTTGTCTCTCACCAGCCACTCACTCCCTGGAGGCCAAAAAGGTTTCTCCTCCAGCCTAATCCAGTCTGTCAACCCAAAAATATGCATCCACACTAAGAAAAATGCTGACAACGAGGCCTCAGATGTTAACGCGAAAGGAGTCCCAGCTGTCCCCTTTGCCACTGCCGCTCCCATTCTTGGCTGCCCCCATTGTTGCCATCCCATCTCCAATGTCTCCATCCGGCTGTTCCCCGGTGGGAGTGGAACCAGGCTCCGGGTAATACTCGTCATCCTCGTCAAAGTAGCCATTCTCCATCATGCTGAGGCTGGAGGCTGCGCTAAGGTCCTGGCAGCTCCCCTTGTACTCCTGGATGGACTCGTGGAGCGACCACAGCTGGCACAGCAGGGACATGTCCTGCTGACGCAACCCCACCTGCAGGGGGCAGTATAGGGATTAGCATTAAAAAACCCGGGGAAGTACAGCTGCAGCTAACTCATTAGCTTATTAGATTACTTTTCAGCAGCTTGTTGCCTTTTTAATTGTTCACAGTTTAATAATTAAGAAACCCAGAGATAATGTTCTACAAATTTTTTTTAAACGTGTCATTTTGTCTAATAACCGGGGATTATAATCGCTTGACATGAACACAAACAGCTACAGGAACCACGAACAAGCGGCTCTGCTTTCATTTTCTAAATTACTTCACGGACATATGCATAGCAGGTGCCCTTATAGTGTGGTGCCACAACAAGCTGGGTGTAAGGACACAAACATGGAGCCTAGCAAGTTTTCCTTTAAATGATGAAATTTACACCAGTTGCACCACTTAAACTCTCCAACCATCCTTCAGTGGCCAATATTGCCTACAAATAAAAGCTCAGTCTTATACTTCTGAGCATTCAGTAACCAGGATCTTTCTACAGCAAGTAAATCTTCCAGGGTTCCCACAGGCCCATTTAATAATAAAATGGGCCTGTGGGGCTTTTACCGGCATAATAGCCAATTTATTTTTTAAATATAGATGAATGAATTCATTGTTTTAGCTCCAAAAACATCTGTCTGGCAAATCACCTTAATAACTTGGCATTAGTGAAAATCTGATTTATTTCTCAACCGTTTAGCACATAAACAGAAAGATAAGCAACAAAAGAGTGACTGTAAAGGAATTATTCAAGTAAAATACCTAAACAGTCACTAAATTTAACCTCTAACAAAGAAACAAAAAGAGAAGAAAGTAATAAAAATAATCCTCGCCTGTGGCCTCAGCTGACTCTGTGACATCGGTGTGTCAAGGCCACGATGATGGTGTGTAAAGGGCATTTTTGCTGCTGACCTCACGGCTGAGCTGACAGTGCAGTTTGAACTTAGAGGCACGGCACACTCAGTGGTCAAGCATATCACAGGCAGCTAAAACGCACACCAAACACTGTGCTCTTTAAAACTGCACAGGGACAAGCTTAGAGTCTTTAAAAATATAGGACACTGACAACTTATTAACTACAACAACCCCACAGTAATACATTAACAGCAGCAAAGCAATAAGGCTAACGTTAGGAACCTGCTCTGCCAAGGCTAAAGGACATAAAGAGTCAGTGGGATTTAGGAAAGAAAGATTTAGGAAAAAAATAAATAAATCCAAATGCCTAGAGTTTGAGCAGCAGTTTAACCTCTTTCAGCTACGTGACTTCACATAAGAAAAACAAGCTATTGTTAAGCATTAACCAAGATTGCTGGGAATCTACCTCAATAATGAAATCTGGTCTGGTCATGGTATGAAAATCCTTGCTGCTGGCAAGGGAGTGTAAAACAGTGTGCAGTAAGAGTTTCACTCTGATTACATCTCTGCAAATGTGATAGCAGGTATTAGTTCACTGAAGGATTTTGTGTTGGTTTCTGTATGTCACAATAGAAACTTTTATACTGAAGCTAAAGGGTATTAAAATGAGCTTAGAATCCAAATCAGCACAAGCCTAATGGCTTAATTTGTCTCATCCAATGCAAAGCTGTTCCTGATCCCCTTTTTTCCTTCTTCTTATACAGGCTGTTATTAACACCAGAGTCCATTTAAAAAAAATCTATTTTTTTATCCTCAAGTGCTTTATAGGTGGTTGGATGGCATGTTAAGTTAATTAACTAGCAAGTCTTTAATAAACAGAGCAAGGAGAAAACACACTTAACAGAAGTGATAACAATGGACAGTGATCATAATTTGTATGTTCACTGAACAAAAATCCCAAACAGACAGGACATAAATCAATATTTTTAACTTCATAATTTATTTAGATAATGCAGAACGGGTTAATTTTGTATGCCGAATCAATCAAAAGACTATTGTTTTCAAAAAGTCTTAATTTCTCAGCTAAAATGCACACAAGTTTGTCCAAAAGCCGAAAAAAGAAAACTTCTGCAGTTTCTTTAGGGATTTTGGTTGAATGGTTGTGAATGTAAATCGCTAGGATTAAACCAGCAGTGGTAAACGGACCACTTTCCTGTCGACAAATAAAGGAAAACACTCTGAAAATGTTACCATTTCTTTTCGCAGCAGAGCCAGTGCTGCATCGAGGTTGGCCGGCTTGTTGGCCAGCAGGTTATCGGCATTGTTCCTGCCTCTGCTCAGGTCGTCCTGGATCATGGTTTTCTTCACGTACATCCTCTCCATTTCTCTCCAGGAGCCGCCGCTTGAGTTCAGCAACCCGCTCAGGCTCTTCGGCAGCGGCGGTAGACCCTCGATGCAGGCCATTCCCCCCAGCGTGCCGTTCGTTGACTTACCATTCATCGTCTTATGTGTTACGAAGCGGGGAGAGCTAGTGTCTATAAAGTCCTGTTTTTTTTTTCAGTTCAAAGACGCCACAAACACTGTTATCACACAGCAGTCTCCCACACTGAACAAACCGAGCAACAGCCGTGCTTTTCTCACCCCAGGGTAGCCAACGACGCCACGTTCAGTTATCCCGAGTGAAGCCGCTGGAATTCCGGTATGATCGTCAAAATAAAAGCACATCAGCTTAAAAAAAGTGTGATGAACGTGGGAAGAGAGAAAAACAAAAATAACAGAAACAATAATTGCTAAAGCATACTGGCTTTTTTCTGCCCGTAATATTATAAGGAGAAGCGTGAAAACTTTGCCTTGTAATATCCATCCATCTTCTTGCTCACTTATCCAATTCAGGGTTGCAGAAGGGCTGGAACCCATACCAGCTGTCACTGGGTGCAACACGTTCTCATCCCAGATCGCCAGTCCAGTGTAGGGTTTAACCTTTAGATGCTGATAGATCTAGAAACATCATTTAACATGAAAAGCATGTTTTGATGCTTTGGGAGGAGACCACTTGGATAATACAAGCTAGGCACAAGGAGAGCAAGCACTCGCAGCTGGCTTTAAGAATCAACCACATATCTGAAATGTGCTATCCACTGCACCACCATGCTGTCCTGCTTCGAACCAGGATTAATAGAAGCCTTTCTTTTACTAGAAGTTATATTTGTACTACCTTTTTTCTGTTGCAGAATTCTCCCACAGGTGGATGCTTTGCATCTCACACCTCTTTTTTTTTATTACGATGTATCCCTTATGTTATAAATTAGGATCATAATTATAACATCTTATACCATTCTCAAGAAAAAAAAATCACTCCTGCAAGTATTTCTTTTACAAACATACAACTCAACAGAACACGTGCACTGAAACAAAATAAAAACATGGAACAATAATCAAAGTTTAAATGCTGTTCTAAGAGATCCTATTACAATCATATGGGTGTTTTCTCCATTTCTCCATTGCACTACTTTCAAGCACTTTGCAACCATGTCCTCTAATGTGTGCCTCTCTATTTTATGCCTTCTAGTTTTGTATATATTCATCTTGTTTGTATATACTCCTCTGGCCTGCTATTTATTCTTGCTGTCATACAATTGATATTTTTAATCCTTGAACAGTTGGTGTGGCGTTACCAGAATTTCGTTGTACATGTCCAATGACAGTGGAAGGAGATTCCATTCTTCTATTCTATTAAACTTCTATACGACGTCCCCCGGCTTTTACTTTGAAAAGAACTTCTGGTTATGTTTTGGTGATTCTTGTAAAGTGTCCAAACTCGGATTGTGGCCGAATAGTAAAATCCGCTTCCTGTCCTTTAACACAGTGGCTGCTGGGCGTTTCCCTGCCAACACGTATATGCATAAAACATGCAGACTTTTATTTAAAACACATATATTTATAGGAAATCGTGTATCTTATTGAATAGATCTTTGAACAGATACAAAGAATACAATTTAAACAGACAAGAGATGAGATGGCATTTAAATGTACACTTGTACACAATCTACTCTAATACAACAAATTGCGCGATTATATTAAAAACACTGAACAACTGCTTACCCCTGAATTTGAAAAAAAAAATCTTAGAAATTTCACATATGTAAAAAATTGCTTCTACACTTAAAAAGAAATCACACATTGTGTGTAAATATGTCTACTCCAAATTTTCTTTTAGCATTAAACTTTAATGTTTGCCCGTTGGTTTATTTGAAGAGTGTGTCCAGGTGACCTATTGTAGGCAGAGGGGTTGAAGGTCGTGATAGTAGTGTGTGTGAAAGACAATAGTGCGAATAAAGGACAGATGGTGGGCCTTACTTCCACCCCCCAGCCTGCAGCCCGATCACAACAATAACACAACAATAACCATGAAATCAGCACAAAAGCATCACACACGCTCCTCGGAAAGAAAGAAAGAAAGAAAGAAAGAAAGAAAGAAAGAAAGGAAAGAAAGAAAGAAAGAAAGAAAGAGCATGTGCTGTGCCACACACACACACACACACACACACAACACACAACACACACACACACACACACACACACACACACACACACACACACACACACACACACAGGCAGATGGATGAAGCCTGAAGCCCTGTATTCCTATTCGCTGTACTGAAATTAATGAAATCTTAAGATTCTTTTCCCTACTTCTGCTAATGTGCTTCTTATAATAACCATTAAAAGTGTTAAATGCCCTTATGAGACTCAGTCAGGGTCTTCATTGTGCATGAACTTACTTGCTTGCAAGTGGCCCCCCAAAAATGCTGATTTTATGATAACTTGTGCTTCTCTTGGCACGTTGTATAGCACAAAAAGTGAATATGTATGAGGTTCTAACGTTCTGCTACACATTTACTTTCAAAACTATTCAAAGTATGCTAAATTTGAAAGTATTTTGATAGACCCGACAGTTACTTTAGATTAAACATTTTTTAGAAATATTTTCTGCTTCAAGTTTTGTGACAATGACTGATATCAGCCTTATGTTCGTTTATAACATATAACATTTAGTAGCCGAGGTAAGATGAAAGACCTATGTGAATTCGCTACTCCCAGTATATTAAGCCCTGCATGGAGGACATCATTAAAAATAACCAGGAGAATGGGAACAAATAAGTAAACAAACACAATTTTTAGATCCTTCTAATATTCATACATCCTTGTTAAAAATGTGACAAATTAAAGCTGGCTAAATAAAGCATCATAATGTGTGAGAAAAGCAATTTAAGTAACTTTGGATGTGGAATGGTTATTGGTGTCAGACAGGCTGTTCTGGGTTTTTCAGAAACTGCCTGCTGACTGGTATTTTCCCTCAAAACCATCTCCAAAAAAGAAAAATATCCAGTGAGCTGCAGTTCTCTGAGTGAATCTGTCTTATTGATGTCAAAGTCTGAGGAGCATAGATAAGCTGAACGGAGCTCATAGAAAGACAGCAACTCAAACTCCATTAATTACTTCTTACAATCAAAGTATGCAGAAGAGCATCTCTGAATGTACAAAATGCCAAATTTTTGAAGCAGGTGAGCTACAGTAGCAGAAGACCACACCAGGTGCCACTACTGTTAGCTAAGAACAGGAAACTGAGGCTATAAGAAAGCTAAGAGCCATTAAATCAGGCTTCATATTTGTATATTCATATTTAATAACTTTGAGACAACACAGGATGTCTTTGTGAAAACCTTGTCCTCATTGTCCTCCTCCCCGAAACCCTGCTCTTACAACAATTAGCCATCAGCTGATCGTTCACAGCTGTACGGTTTAGCCTTTTAGACCAATCAAGGACAATCTGTTTTGTCCAGGGTTTTTATAAACAGACAGGTCCTTCTATAAGCTCCCACCAGCAGCAGCAGCACCATCATCATCATCACTACCTCTTGAGATCAAAGGATTAGGCATATGATTGCAACCCCCTAGGGAGGCATGTAACCCTAGCAGGGTGGTGTTAATCTGCCTTTCGAAAAGCACAATGAGTTTGCGTCATTTACTGGATCCAGCTAATAGTGGTCTAAAGATATCAGCTTATGTTGAGCTCACTGCTGGCAGCACAAAAGCTACCAAAGGAGCTTTATTCTGTTTCTTTTTTCCCTCAAAATTTTCAGTTGTATTTTTCTTTGTAGATTTCAAGCATTTTGTATATCGGTCTGTGTCTATATGAGATATTATGCAATAAATCGCTAAAACAACTGTTATTGAGGAAATTAGTTAAGCTTAACAAATACATACATTTCATGCACACACACACACACACACACACACACACACACACACACACACACACACACACACACACACACACACACACACACACACACACAGATATATGGCAGTCTATTCCTCTGGTAATGGTGTTCCATGTATGCCCTGGCTGCTATCATTTTGCATCCTTCTGTTATGTGCTGAATTGTCTCAGGGGCATCTTTACACTGCCTGCACCTGGGGTCTTGCCTGGTGTGATAGACCCCAGAACCCTATGGATCTTGTACTTAGAGTGCACAGCTTGGTCAGCCTAGTCTTGCAGTCTTAGCTGACTGCTCGGTCTACCTGGTGTTTTGCTGGTGTTTTGCGCCTGCTAGACCGAGCAGTCAGTGTAGGTATACAATACAATATATATATTATATATTAATGTATGCGATATATTTGAAAACATTAAGAAATTAACTTATTAAGATACTCATGTGTCCCTACACTAGAAAGATTAGCATCATGAAGAATAGAAATATATTAAAAGAGTGTATTTAACTCGGAAACAGGTACATTTCAGAACATTGGACAAGCTGTCACTGCTGAGATTATGAAATATTTTTAACCACAGAAGTTCTAAGTGACAGTTGATGAAATGGCAAAAGCTGTTAAAACAGCAGTTCAAGAGTAAGTTTAAACAGATTTGATTTCTGCAGAGGGATTACTTGCACCTCTACATGAAACAATAGCTCTTAAACAAACAGCAGCCAACAGAGTGACATTGCACTGAACTTGGAGCTTGTCTGGAATGCATCACTGTCAGGGAGAAACAACAGACCTGAAAGGAAATAATGTGCGTGTGTGTGGGGGTGTGTTTGCAGGAATTCAGCTCCCTATAGCGTGTCAATGTACAGAAGTTCAGGAAAGAGGGCTGGCCTGGACTAACAACTGCTGTCATGGATTTTTCCTCTGCTCAGAGGCCCTCTGCGGTGGACGGGGGTGACTGTTTCCTCCCTGTGACAAACGGGAATGGAATCAGACCGAATTATAGTAACTGCAGTGGCAATATTCTACACAGTGGTATTATAAATTAAACACACACACACAACACACACAATTATAAAAGGTTTGGAAGCCACATTAGCAATAAATAGCAATAAAAACTCAAAGGCTGGTCGGATAATACCACAGCTGAGCTTTGTTTACACTTCATCCTCCTGTTCTGGAGCTGCTAGAGTGATTAAACAGCCTCTTTCTGTTCTAACAAAGACAGGAAACAGTGAATCTAATATGACTTCTTAGTGCTGCTTTCAGATCTTCCATAACCCCTACACTGCAGTTGGCAAATCCACTTTTAAGGATAAAATAAAACAAACTTAAAAATCAGACCAAATTCCAAAAGTGTCTTTAAACCAGCAGTATATACAAGCAGCTAAAACTGTTGTATAGTTTCGTGTATTTATGGGTTGTAACATTTGCACGCTTCTGTTTTTTTGAGTTCAATGTAAAAGATCTTGATATTTGTATATATCAGTAGATTTTCATTATATATAAACACTCAAAGAATCATATTTAAGAAGGATTTAACAAGAAAACAAGACAGTGCTGAAAGGACTGTAAGCAAGTATTAGATCACCTTAACCTTATTAGGTACACCGTGCTAGTTCTGGGTTGGACCCTCTTTTGTCTTTAGAACTGCTTTGATTCTTCATGGCACAGATTCAACAAGGTGCCCGAAACGTTCCTCTGAGATTTTGGTCCATATTGACACGATAGTGTCAGAGTTGTTCCGGGTTTGTCAGGTGTACGTCCATGCTGCAGATCTCCCATTCTGCCACATCAGATTCCAGGCCATTTGATGTTATCCTGCTGGAAATAGGCGTCATGCGCCCAGAAATTGCCCACGCCTTTACATTACCAGAAGCAGTCTGAAAGTAGGATTGAGCCACGATTTCATGTTGTTTATGCCAAATTCTGACCCTACCATCTGAATCTTACAGCAGAAACCAAGTCTCATCAGAACCGGCAATGTTTTTCCTGTCCTCTGTTGGTGACCCTGTGCCACTTATGTCAGCTAAGACTCATGTCTTAGCTGACGTGAGTGGTGCACAGTGTGGTTTTTTGTTACTGTCACCACTCAAAGTTGGATGTCTTGCATGTTCACAGATGCTTTTCTGCATATCTTGGTTGAAACAACATATTTGAGATAATCTTGCCTTCACATCAGCTTGAATCATGTTCCTTTTATGTCTGTTATCAACAAAGCATTTCTGCCACTGGATATTTTCTCTTTTTCTAACCATTCTCTATAAACTCTTCAGATGGTTGTGTGGGAAAATCCCCGTAAATAAACAGTTTCTGAATTACTCAGACCAGACCATCTGGCACCACATCCAAAGTTGCTTAAATTGCCTTTCTTCTTGATTCTGGTTGGTTGGTCTGGTTTGAACTACTGTATATTTTCTTTATCATTTTTACATAGCTAAAAGCATAGAGTTGCATCTTCAGTGGTGTTTTTAGTGTCAGCTGTAATTTGGCAATAACAAACTTCACCCCAATGAATAGAGTTTACCGTATTTTTCAGTAGAAGCTGTTGTGCATTCAAGTACAAGATTTTAGATATTTAAGCATAGTAGTTTTTTGAGAATCAAATATAAAATCCACCCTTGCCTTTTTCCCAACAGTATTTCCTCTGTGCCTGTGGAGCCAGATGGCAATTAAAGCTGCAGCAGCAGACTGAGGTAATTGACATGCTGCTGCCGACATGCTTTGTTGACGCCCCTGGCATTGCTCCAGTCTTTCCTGCAGGAACAGGAGGGCGTAGTCATGATCAGCAGCTGGCCTCACGCTGCCTGACCTCTGCCCCCATCCTCTTCTCCGTTTTTCTGCTTACCCACCAGCTCTGCTACACCCACTTGTCTGTCTCCCGTTCTCTCTCTTGAGTATGACTAAAGCGTTTGTGCTATTTAAAAAAACCCAAACTATCCAGAGTACTTTTGATCAGATGGTTAAAGTGATCTGAAGTAAACTGCATTTAAGTAAATAATGTTAGTCTTACAAAACTAAAACATTTTCACTGGCGATCTTAATATAATAATGGTCAAAAGGACATTTGTCTGATGTAGGCTGAGGAAACAACTATCAGGTTAAATCTATGATTTACTCTAAGACATGCTTGATTAAATATTGACTTGTTGACACATAAATTGGTCTTCAGTGGTTTCTGTGGGGAAGCCTGTAAGGTTTGGTTTATGTTTCTGCTACCTTAACATGATTAAACTTTTCTTTTCTTGTTTTCACTGAAAAATCTTGAAAATTCATAAAGAAATTGACTGCATTTTATAGTCAATGTCCAAATACAGGCTTAAGTCTAGACACTAATCTAGTCTTCTCATCACTTGATCATCAAGCAAATAATACATCACATCTCATCTGTATTGTTTACTGCTAATCAGTATATGTTAGCACAGTGCTAAAAGCACAGAATATTCCTGATAAGCATTTAGCTCAAAGGGTACAAAGTTTAGATTTTGACCACTTTCTTCTGGATATTTAATCATTACACAAGACAACCGTTGAATACTGGCATTGAATTCACTCCACACTGAAATATTCAGTCAAACAGACCAATAAAAATATTTTACTTGGCAATTAAAACCCAAACAGATGAATAAAATATTCAGGTAGAAATCTGTAATGTTTTAGTCATCCAAGTATTTCTTGTACTGAGGATATCACTGGTGAAGTGTTTTACTGAGTAAATTCAAATGTCCTTGCACCACCTGACCCCGAAGGCTGGGTGCAGTGCAAATGTGATGACCTGCAGAAATAAATAGCTAGTAAGTGCGAAACCTGACTCCTACAGATCAGATCAGCAGAGAACAGACGGCGTCTCCTGTTGTCTGAAGGGCAGCAGATGCAGACCTGAGGTTTGGGGGGTGGGGGTACATCCCACTGCAGGAACCACAAATCAATAATATCCACTTCCAGAGGAGACAAAAATAGGTTTTGCAGGCTAAGACAAAACGGTTTCTGAATTCAAACCATAACCGGTAATATCACACTGACGTTCTTCCGCAAAACACTGCTGTCATAGTTTTCTAATGCAGTCCAGTTCAGTGAGGAATTTTGTTACAGCAGACATAAAGTCATGCAGTGAAATCGCAGAAGTAATCATAGTGTGATAGAAAGAAAAAAATCATTAAAATCACTATGCCACGTCTTACTGAACAAACAAGGATAAAATTTTATTGAACATCCAAAGTTAAGAAGTTTTAGTGCAACATCAAACTTATTCTGACTTTCTAAAAGTTATCACCTCCTTATTCAAGAGAGGCAGGAATCAAGATGCTCATTGATCTTTGACTCCTGGATCTTTGCTTGGCACACTGGACAACAGACCATCACTGCAAAGGAGGAGGAGGATGAAGAAGAGGAGGCAACACTGTGCAGTCCTGCTGAGGACTGCAGAGAAGCAGAAGAGGAGGGTGTGGTGGTGGCACTGGTAGTTCTCTGCAGCACTTCTGGTGATTTTGCCTTAATTGATTCCTTCGATGTTGCTGAATCGCTGCCTAAGGTCTTCTGGAAGAAGTCAAAGATGCTGGCAGAGCTGCTGCGGTCATCCCACGCCCTCTGTCTTGGCGTCTGATTCCTACCCACAGCCGCTGATGTGCTGTCACTGTCAGAATTAGTAAAATACTTGGACTGTACAGGTCTTGAAGTGCTACCCTGGGATCCGGTTGTAACTACAGATGAGACCTTGGAATGGTTTGTTATGTCAGGGCTGGGACTGGGCGTGCTGGGAGAGGAAGTCAAATGATTATTTTGTTGTTTTTGAAATATAGAGGAGGCAGAAGCAGCATTTGTGGAAGACTTTGGTGATATCAGTGAGTCTCTTTTGGTCTCTGACTTCCTGAGGCTTGTGCTATTAAAAAGGTCGTCAATGGAACTCTGTTTGATCTTATCTCCTCCTTGGCTGCTACTACTGCTCTGGGATTTTGGCATTTTCACTGGTGAACCGTTTATGTTGACAAAGTGGCTCGCGTTGCCGACAGACCTCTTTACAGGTGGCTTTTTCCCCATGGAAGTGGATGGTCTGACTGAGGTAAAAGTGTTGGAAATCCCATTGGTCTTGTTAGAGTGAACAGGAGAGGAGACACTTTTAGTCGGGGACGATGGCGTGAAGAACTTCTTTGGGGAGGGGACAGGGTTGGACAATGGTGTTTTCACAACAGGAAGTGGTGGCCTGGGAGGTGGCCTGGGAGATGGCAAGGAAGACGTTGAGTCCTGAGACTTCCCCCCAAGGATGAAGCCTTTCCCACTAAATGGGATGATGTTCCTTATATCCTGTGATCCAGAACCTGGGACAGGAAATGATACAATTTAGAGTCAGCCATGCAATGTATTTAAATCCAGTAACTTAGTTCAAGTGGACGTGGTTTGCTTTTTCTTTAATTTCAGTTCTTATATTATATCTTTTTATATACAAGACCAGAGTTTCTGACAATAAAGTCAGTTCATTTAGATGCTCTAAATCAGGGGTGTCATACTCCTTTCACACTATGAACCACATACAGTCCACTTTGATCTTAAGTGCGCCTAACCAGTGAAACTCCTTTTTCTGAAAGTGTAAAGAAGTTAATAATATTATTATTATTACTATTATTATTCCATCCATCCATCCATTCGCTTCCGTTTATCCTTTTCAGGGTCGCGGGGGGCGCTGGAGCCTATCCCAGCTGTCATAGGGCGACAATTAATTATTATTAATTGTGTAGTAATTACACACTTAATGTTTCCAAAGCTGTCCAGTGGGTAAGCCTAGAGTCTCTGAGGGGCCAATTCAGTAAATACCATTCTTTATATTTCTTGCATGTTCTGTAGCAGGGGGTCATTTGATTTAAATTGATTTTACATGCTCAAGTTACTCAGTGGAAACAATCTATTCACGGTTAAAAGCGGTCAGGCATAAAAGCATGACATGACTGTTGTTTTGAGGCTGTCACAGAAAATTAAGAACATTTTTCATTGAGGTTTAAAATGTTTGAAATATGAACAAGATTTTCTTGTTTGTTGGTACAATGTTTTAAAGCTTAATACACAGGCGTGTACGGGCATGTTACCTGTAGTCGTACTTGAAGGCTTGCCACTTCCTGTGGCCTTCTTCTCTGAGGTCTTGCTGTTTTTTTTGCATTTTTTGCCATATCCTTCAGGCTCCTTGATTTTGGTGTATGTGCCACCACATGTTCTCTGGTGATCCTCCCACCAAGGGTCCAGAGAAGAAGGAGCTCTATTCATGGCCCTCTTCACGTAGCCAAAGTAGGGTTTACGCTTCTGGCAGGGCCCATCACACCGCCACCAGTGCTGCCGGTACACATCAACCTCATCGTGGAAGCTGTGGTAGATCTGATGAAAGAAAGGAAAGATGGGAAGACATAAGTTTATGAAAATGGGCATGGATGCCAAACATGACCAATCCAGCCCAATAGACTGGTAAATTGACTGATTCTTACAGCTTTTCTACTCTCCCGGAGTACTCAAAGCGCTCTATACAACATGCCACATTCACCCAATCACACCCATTCTCACAAGCACCATCTCGATACTGAGATTCCGATGGGAGCAACTTGGGGTAAGTGTCTTGCCCAAGGATACTTGATATGCAGACTGGAGGAGGCAGGGATCGAACCACCAAGCTTCCAATCAGCAGTGACCTGCTCTACCTCCTGAGCTACAGCCACCCCAGTGAATGGGTTTACAAAAAATTGCTGTAGAAGCATTAACAATTGAAGGTTTTCTAAAATAAAAATCCAGCATGAAAATGAACGAAGACATGAATGCATGTAATTTTGAGCTTTTACTGATTTCTGTTGTCTCTTCAGGATGGAATAATGGTACAGCATTCAAAAACAAGAAGTGGATGTCAAAGTTTGAATTTATTTTGGATTTCCTCTAATCCCCACAGTGTCAGGCTCAAATATATACATGCATTCACTTAAATATTTTAATAATTGCTGGTGGAGGTTCTACAATGTCTTTTAACTTTTAATAAATGTACTAACTTCTTGTTAGTGATCACGATTCGCTCCAAATGGTAATTTTTCTTTGCCAGGACTCGCTGGACTGACCAATACTCAGAGCAATACGAAAGGCCAAGACACTTAGATAACTCTCCATCTTAGATTTTCACAACTTTGCATGTGTCACTGCTTTGGCAGGGTCTGGAAAAAGACCCAAACTATCATCCTGAGATGAGAGGAAGTGAGTTTTAAATGCCAACAGGAGTGATCAAATATCCAGCCAGAATTACACCAGAAGCTTGTTAATGGCTACCAAAAACATCTGTTCAGGGTGCAAATTGCTAAGGAACATTTAACCAAATAAGAGTGGGATTGTATGTTTAGATTTGGGCCTATATGCAGTTTTGATCCAGTGTGGATTAGAGAAAATCCTAAATGAATTCAAATGTTTCTTGATTACTTTGCTGTTCAATCACTGCACCCTGAACAGCAGTTCAAACAAATCATTAAAAGCCCCAAATTCCCATGACATTCAAGCCCATGATGACTATATGTAAACTTCTGAATACAACTGTAAATTTGAAGGTTTGTATGTATACGTGGTCCACAAAACAGAATAAGTTTGAAAATGTCTCTTATGGGACTACCAGTTCAATGCTCAAGAACATACACTTACAGTGATCTTGGTCCCACTGGCTTTGTTGATCCGGTTCATGTGTTTGCAGAACTCAGGTCCGTGGCCATCTCTGTCCCGGTTATTTTGTGTCACAAACAGGAGCGCGTGAATCATTTCATGGAGAAGGGTCTGTGGCAACCAGGGAAAAATAAACTGATTAAGAACATGAAAATTGTCCTCTTTTACAAGGATTACAAGCTCTAATCTATCACACTGTCACACATTCACTGCTGGGGTTAGGAAGGTAAAATGATAGATGTATAAATTTCATCCCCTACAACAAGCTCTTTCCCAGTGTTTCTGATGTGAATGGTGTTCAGGTCGACCTCACCTCTACCAGGTCTTTTCTGGGTCTAAGCTTCAGCAGAGGCTCACTCAGCCTGATTGAACACAGTCCACCTCGACCCTCATAAGAACAAACTCCAGCACACCTAAGAGAGAAAAAAAAAGAGGAGCAGGACACATTACAGACATGCAAAACCAAATCCCGCACAAAAATCAAAGGTGTTATTGTGTAGACAACTTTGGGGGAGTTAACAAGAACAAAAACATGCATGACTTACAACGTCATTCTCGAGCTCCACTTCACCTCCACACCGCTAAGTTTACCCCAGAAGAACATGTCATTGAACTCCAGAAACATAGCCCTGACGTCGGGGTTAGGGTCAAGCATCTCCCAGGACTCGTCCACAATGGACATTGGCCTCTCAAGCTGGGGATTCGGTTTCCAGTAGGGAACAACACCGCTACCACCTCCAGCTACCTCCACTCTCCGTTTCTTACTGCTCTGCCCGAAACTATCATCTACAGTACCACTTGATGAAGATAATAAAGCCTGGTATTCCTGATCAAACTGCTCCTGCAGCCGAATAGCGAGCAGGAAATCCTCATCCATGACAAGAGAGAAAAGTTTTGTGGTTGTTTTGATGATATTTGTTGTTATGTTATTTGTTTTTAGTTAGCTTGTCAGCGCCAACTAGCTAATGCAGTTTGTACAGGTCTCAAACAGGCGGTAGCATTACGTCGTCCTAAAATGTAGTCTGACAGATTACCAATACGTCCAAATACTTTCTGTCATGTAACTTCTGTCATGAAATTTTCAGTGACATTTTCATATTACTAACCGTCAGACCAAAGCTAGTGCGAAGATCCGTGTGTCAAGTCTGTCACAATAGGACAAAATAAATTCCGGTACGGGTTTCAAAGTAAAACAATTAAGTAGTTTTAAACGACTAAGTAAGTTTTAAGTAAAAGCCTGTTTTCAATATGGCTATTTTCTTTGTTGTTTTGATGTATAAGTTTAAAATATCAAACTATCTGCATATGCGTTCTGTAGCATCTACTAATATTTTTTTTCTAAAATGGAACATTCTTTCAATCATAAAATGCTATATCCGGTTTAGTTTTGCCTAACTACCATAAACTCGATTATGTAGTCAAGCAACGTCTTTGCAATGGATTATGGGAACTGTAGTGTTGTTCATTTCAAGTAGTTTCCGCCAGTTAAATAAATAAAAGCAACACGGCTTTCTAATATAAATCATTAACATATGTTAAATTATATTAAAAAATAAATATAAGACCCATTATGAACGACCTATGATCATTTAGATTTTTTTAAATTGTTTTATTATTTTTTTGTATCCCGTGACGTTCCAGGGTGTCAACTTCCTGTTTAGGCTACAAGCGGATATGAACGAAGGATCCTCGATGAACTGTTTCTCTGTCCAGTTTTTTCTACATTTTCTCAACAATTTATCTCAATAAGTAAACAGTTACACGGCAAAAGATGTCGGAAACGGGGAACCGACTACGGAAGCAGCTCGAATCGCCCAATTTCGACCCGCAAAATTACGTCAAGCAGCTGTCACAGCAGTCCGATGGCGACAGGGATTTGCAGGAGCACCGACAAAAAATCCAAAACCTTGCCGACGAAACGGCTCAAAATCTGAAGAAAAATGTTTACAAGAATTACAGACAGTTCATCGAAACAGCCAAAGAGATTTCCTATCTGGAGAGCGAAATGTACCAGCTGAGCCACATCCTGACTGAACAGAAGAGCATCATGGAGAGTATCACTCAGGCCCTGCTGTCCACAGATAAGGATGAGACGTCTAAAGAGATGCAGGCAGCTTTTCCCAAAGAGACTGAGGAGGTGAAGCAGAGGACCCTCACCTCACTGCTGGAGAAAGTGGAAGGGGTTAAAAACATCATGGACACCCCAGGCAGGCACCTTATCTACAATGGGGACCTTGCAGAGTTTGATGTTGACAACATGTCCCCCATTCAGAAGGTGCACGCTTTCCTGATGAATGACTGTCTGCTGATTGCCACCTGGCTGCCTAACCGCCGTGGCACGGTTAAGTATAAATACAACGCTCTGTATGACCTGGAGAGCTTTGCTGTGGTTAACGTGAAAGACAACCCACCAATGAAGGACATGTTCAAGATCCTAATGTTTCCAGACAGCCGCATCTTCCAGGCAGAGAACAGCAAAGTTAAGAAAGAGTGGTTGGAGATCCTAGATGAAACCAAGAAAAACAAAGTCTCCAAAGACAGGCATAAGAAGGAGGAGGAGGTCCCCACTTCTCCTGTTAGAGCTGAGGTATCCACCAATCCTTTTGATATGGATGATGATGAAGGCACGGTTGATGGTGAGGAGAGCGTGAATCTTAGCCTTGAGTGGATCCAGGAGCTGCCAGAGGATCTGGATGTGTGCATTGCCCAGAGAGACTTCGAGGGTGCTGTTGACCTGCTGGACAAGCTCAATGAGTATCTCAGAGATCAGCCTGTCACCCCGAAGGTTAAAGAGCTTAGGGGGAAGGTGGATGAACGTGTGCGGCAGCTGACAGAGGTCCTGGTGTTTGAGTTGTCTCCAGATCGGTCACTTCGTGGCGGTCCTAAAGCAACCCGGCGGGCTGTTTCCCAGCTCATCAGACTAGGTCCTTTTTTTTTTAATCAAAAATAACAAGCTTGCACACATCACCAAAACAAATAACACCTGTCTGCTATGATCTCACTTTATATTCAGTGTATTCACAGTAAGGATGTGCTCAGCCCTCTCACAGGGTTTCCACAATTCACTGTTCATTATTCAGGGAGTTTAGCTCATTCTCTTCCATCATTTGCATGGACTTGACTTTCAAATTGCTTGTTGTCCGAGTTCGACCTTGGATGCAGTTAAAGTGTAATTTTCAGACAAATAAGCTGTGCTTGCGGTGATCTGTATGTATTCACTGTTTTTCCCCTCATCTTCAGTCAAGGTGAATATTCTCAAACTACTTAATTAAGAAAATAACTTTGCTATTCAGAGCACTAAGAGAACTAACCTCATGATAGTTTATATATAGTTTACTATTTATTTTTTGTCAGAACTGTTCTTGAATGACCGAATGTTATAAAACCTTAGAAATTTGTATTTTGCTTTGGTGCAGAACAGCTTCGAGTGGATCCATTTTTAATTATGCCCGAGTTTTGCAAACAGACTCCCACACACTGACTGATTTGCAAAAACATGTTTATTTGCAATTTTTCAGTACTTGACCTTTTTCGGGCAAAACATTATCCTTTAGCAGGAGTATGAAGGGTATAAACCTCTTTTAAAACTCAATCAAAAGGAAAGAGAGAGAACATTTTGTCTCCTGTCACTACACTCCCAGGTATTCTTTATGTATTCAAGGAGAGTTTGCCATCCAGTTTACTTTTTTCCCCCATTAAGCTTAATAGGTTTCAAGACATATACTAAAAACGTACCAGAATCAGCTGAGAAATAGCTACACATGTTGTACATTTACAGTCATAAATATAAAGGCCCTCAGATTCCCATAATGCATCACAGTTTGCATGTATTTGCAAAAATACAATGTAATTGCCATGAACATCTGTACTGTCTCATCACACAGTCATCTGTGTTTCAGGCCAGTCCACCAAAGCCTGTGAGCTCTTTCTGAAGAACCGCGCTGCTGCAGTGCAGACTGCTATACGGCAGCTTCGCATCGAAGGAGCCACGCTGCTCTACATCCACAAACTCTGCAACATATTCTTCACCAGCCTGCTGGAGACGGCCAAGGAATTTCAGATGGACTTTGCCGGGAACACAGGCTGCTATTCTGCCTTCGTGGTCTGGTCCAGATCAGCCATGAGGATGTTTGTGGACGCCTTCAGCAAGCAGGTAGTTAAAATGTCAGATGATAAAACCCTAAAATGAGTAATAGGTACGTCCCCTATGATTAGAAGATATGTAACATCTATCATTTGTATATTCTGTATTGTTTATAGCTAAAAACATACTAAGCTACTGAGACATGATGCAATATTTGTGTGTTCCGGTGGTGTTCTTAGGTATTAATGGTTTAAAATATGCAAATAACCAACAATGTGTTTTGGTATACAGAGGATAAGCTTCTGGATCTCAGGTGTATAAAAAAAGTTGAGTTGTTTTAGTAATAAAAAAAGCCATCTGAGAAGGGCAAAGAACTGAAAAGCATTGCTGCAACACAAGAGGATCTCTTAAATGGCAGCCAGAGCATGCCATTCAAGTTAAAATTTATGGTTGTATGGTTTTCTTAATAAAGTACATTTTTTTTTATTTCCTCGTTGCTAGGTGTTCGACAGTAAGGAGAGCCTGTCCACAGCAGCAGAGTGCGTTAAAGTGGCTAAAGAACATTGTCAGCAGCTCACCGAGATCGGCCTGGACCTGACCTTCACCCTGCAGTCCCTGCTGGTCAAAGACATCAAGGCAGCGCTCCAGAGCTACAAAGATATTATCATCGAGGCCACGAAACACAGAAACTCTGAGGAGATGTGGAGGAGGATGAACCTCATGACTCCTGAGGCTTTGGCTAAACTTAAGGTGGATCTGAATTATTTCTGTTTTGTCTCTTGGTTCTTATGGTTTCTCACTCAGTCTTTTGTTTTCTTCAATTGTTGATTGTTTAATTGTTTTTAACCAAGAACCTCCTAAATTGAGCAACAGAAAGCAAAGCTTTGATAATCTGGTATTAATCTGCTTAAATGATTCAACTGTTGAAATTTTTCCACTGTGAACCTTTAAAGCTCCTTTTTATATAATTTCATATTTTGGGGGTTTTGCATGCTTAATTATGTTGTAATTTCTGGAGGCAGGGATTTTGGCTTGTGTGCTTAGAGCTTCTGTTACAACAAATGCTGAGGATTTCATATGAAAGCTGCCACAAATCACTGTTTTCCTTTACCTGCTGCAACATTAACATATTTATCTTTGTGCAGGATGAGATGCGCAGTTGTGGCATTAACTTTGAGCAGTACACAGGTGATGACTGCTGGGTGAACCTGAGCTATACCGTCGTGGCCTTCACCAAGCAGATGATGAGCTTCTTAGAGGAAGGCCTGAAGCTCTACTTCCCTGAGCTGCACATGGTGCTGCTGGAGAGCCTGAGGGAGATCATCCTGGTGGCCGTACAGCACGTAGACTACAGCCTCCGCTGTGAGCAGGACCCTGAGAAGAAAGCCTTTGTCATGCAGAATGCCTCCTTCCTCCACGACACCGTGCTGCCGGTGGTTGAGCGGAGGTTTGAGGAGAGCGTGGGGAAGCCGGCCAAGCAGCTGCAGGACCTCAGGAAGAGCACGAGGCCGGTACGAATCAACCCCGAGAGCACCACATCCGTGGTCTGAGACCGACAGAAACTTCTGTGGCTTGAATTGAGGCGCAAGAATGGCGGCCATGAAACACCTACACACTCTCTAAATGGCTGTTCTTGCAATTTCAACTCCCAATTTAGAAATAAACATAGCACCTTTGGTTGTTTTTATGCTGCAGGACAGGAAATCACTGGATACATCACGGAAAAGAGTCACAATAGCACTGGAATAAGACAGCTTAAAGTGCCCATATTATAATCATTTATAGGTTTTTAGTTTTAGTGGTTCATCAGAATTTTTTTCTCAATATTTTTTCCTCAATATTTTTCTCATACTGGCTCCAAATAAAGTCCAGCCTGCTTTGATTTATCAGCCTATCCAGTCAAAATGAGAAATGGTTTTCTTGCCATAACCTTACAAATAGAGACACAACACTCAGTAAGAAAACCCACACACATTTCAACCAGAACTGGAAACAAGGCAGCTGTTTGTTCTTTTTAAGGGCAGGTCACACTAGCCAATAGCTAAGGTGTTGCACTAATCTGATACAGATAAATCACAGATGAAAACCTGGATCACAAATGATGTGCTCCAGGCAGTGGGAGAAAATAACCTGCATTATCCTAAACTTTTGTAACTTTGCAAATGTTTTACATGCATAAAAAAATAACCAACAGCTAAACTCAAAATGCATAATGTATTAACAGTGATTATTGACACGTGATAACTAAGGAGACTAAGCTCTTCTGAAAGAGGTGCAATGTTTGTGTGAGGCTGATGAATCTATTGATCAGACAAACACACTA